GATAATGAAGGGGCAATTTCAGCAGCAGTATGTTTTAGGAGTGAACCGGGGATGTCATCTGGTCCACCGGCCTTACTTGGATCAATATTCGACAAAGCCTCCATCACTTCAGCAACTGTAAGCATAACATTTTTTGGAATGTCGTTTAGAAAACGAACTAAACGCGAATTTGGCTGAAGATTTTCATGATGACGCGTTTGTAAAGAACTGTTCATTTATGACACTTTTTATTGATAACTTACCAACGTTTTACGACACCGGAAGTGTTTCCAAACCGGAAGTCAGCTCTGTCGCTAACCAGTTTTACTTGCGAATAGAAGTTAAAGGACTTACATAAATGTATTTTTGTAATTATCAAAAATTTTATTTATAAAAAATGGAACTTTATCCCAATTAAAGCAATCGTATGATTCTTATTTAAGGATATCTGAGACATTTTACGGCTAATATTGCCTTGCTTATTTGACGGTTGACGGCAAAATATTACGATTTTGACAGTTCACGGTTGACGGCTAACCGAATTGAGATCCTCGTAGAAGTCATATTTACTGTAAAGACGAGTCAAGGAAGCGGTATTGTTGTTGGCGGGAGAACAGAAATTATTTGGCTCGAGGTCGTGACGTACGGACCGAATGTAGCAGGTTCCATGCCTCGTGACCGAGAGACAAATATTTTCCCCTCCAGCCCGACCAAACTTGATTAACAAGCATCTCATAATGTGATCACTTCGAAAATTTGGTTTCAACCTAAATAGGACGCGGTGACAGAGCGCACGCTGAACAATCACATTAAAGATCCTAGAGGAAAAAATTTTCCTTTTTTTTTTCGAGTCAGAACAAGAAATTCACCGTTTATTAACTCGTCCGATCCTTCACACGTCAGCTTTCACTTTGATGGTTTTTAATGGGATTACGTGCGGTTTTTAATAGGTCAAATTATCATCAGGCATAAACCTGCAATTTAGCATTAGGTAACGCGTTACATCAACTCATAGTATCTTGGACAGGGGAAGTAAGACAAAACAGTTTATACAACCAGGTATTACAGATGCTATATACAAATATTAAACCTCATGGATAGCGGCTCAATTTAAATGCATTACGTAAGGTTTGGCCGAACTGATATGGGTTTACTGAAGCGTTTTACAATACTAGTAAAACATTCCAAATTTGAATGGGTTAGCATCCCATTTAAGTATAGTTTCGCTTCTCTTTACGAAAATCTTAAAATATATTCATTGTATTTCAGATGGTAGTGGTGGCGGCGGGTTTTTCTCCAGTGGAAGAAGTGGAAAGTATTTTAGTGGAACCAAAGGAGAGGGTGGAGAAGGTGGTAAGGGATTTAATCAGGGAGGGGTGGGTGGAAGAGCTAGGTATTACGATGTCGATGGTGGGTTTGGTGGAGGTGATGGAGCTGATGGATGAATAGCAGGAGGAGGAGGAGGAGGAGGAGGGGGATACTCTGGGGGAAGCAGTGGAAATGGTGATGCTAACATCTGTGGGGGTGGGGGAGGCTTTTACAACAATGGAAACAACCAGGACAATGAATGTTGTTTCAACAACGCTGGTTGTGATCAAGTGACTATATCGTTCCTGGAGTAAATAAAAACGTTTATCTAATATGATAGTGGCACTTAGAATTGAACTTTCATTGATTGGCATTCTAATTGACTGATAGCACTCAGTTAAAATACCAAATAAAGTGTAACTGTTTTATTTTTTAACTTTCTCTGTGACACAAAAGTCACCCATTTTATCTTTCGTTTGGTTTACTTTTAACCATTATTTCTTTCGGTCATCTATTATGTTAACTGGGCTCAGCGCTTTTTTTTTGTTGTAGTCGAAAAGTACAAATAGGGTTCTAAAACTTGAGATAATGAACTGAGAAACTTTTCAGAAATCGAGTCTTACTTGTTATACTTTTTCACTTGGGTCTAAAGGAAAGATCACAACATCGCTCAGACCAATCAACACACTGTGCAACCTAAAACGATGAGAAACAATTCCATATGATTATATCTTCTGGAAGCTTAGGATTGAGTTTTTCCTGTTATTTCATGTCAATCTTTTGATAGGACTCTTCACTGACCTTCTTTTACCGATGTTCAGTGAGATCAGTGAAGATTTTGAGATCAGACAGTAAAGACGCCTGTTACACTGTAACCTTCTGGAATCAGTATGCCTTTTCCGACGTAGCACTAATCTTAACATTGATGATGTGTTGTTAAATGGTGAAGACTAACACGAGGGGATAATGACACGCACGGTTTTGTCAAAGTTAAGATCCCTCCCGGGCCCTTTGGCGAAAGAAGTCATTTGCAAATTGTTACAACAACCGGATAACCAAGTGAAGTTGTCACGGCAGCTTTGTAAATTTACGTGTGAAATTGTAAACTATGGACCAGATTAAATAGGAAGTATTCACGAGTAATTCATTTAACGACAGTTGGTAAAAAGTACTCCTAGTCTTGCAAAAATTGGTCCTTCTTCATCTATAAGTAATAAATATTGCCTAATCATTTGAATAACGGAATAATATTCCCCTTGTTTCTGTAATAATAATTTTTGTCATACGCTTTGACAGTCTGTTCTGAATATTTAACAAAAACACGCTATGTATTTCGTAGAAATACTTGTGATAAACAGAAAGATGTCGTTGCTATCGGCGAAAATGGTATCCGTTCGACCTATGATCCTTCCGTTGAATTCTAAATTGTTTTAGTCACCGATCAAGTAGTTTCAAAAAGACCACGGGCTCTTACAGTGTGCTATTAAGAATTGGAAACGAAACATTTTCTTAAGAAAGATCTTGAAAAGGGTTTCATGAAATGGCAGCAATGTTGATCTATGGTGGACATCACTTACATTCACCATTAAGAAATATGTTGTTAAATACACAAACACGAGGTTATTACGCCATATTACCAAGTAAACTTTCATTCAAAGCTGTTGCTAGAAGTAGTTAATACTGGAAACTTAGTGGAAAGCTATCAATACAAAAGTTCTCCAGCATATTGTTTGTGAATTTCATGATCTTGTTATGGAATATTTCAAATTTCCTTACAAGTTCGAGCAAATAATGTGACGTTTTAGATTTAAAAACGCGGTAAGGGAAGAAAAATAGCAAAGGGACAAACGCAGAAGCAAACCTTGACGAAACGACTGATTTAATTGGATGGGGAAGGGAGGGTGGGGGCAAGGGGGTTCCCTATATTTGGAGACACCTCCCTAAGTTAAAACTCATGCCTTCCCTCCTACCACACAATCTTGTCTGTGAGAAAAGAGGGGGGGGGAGGGTTAGGAAGAGGGGAGAGGGCTTATAGAATTAAAACATACATTTGTGATGACAACAACGATGTGGAAAATTACCTGTGCATGTGCGAGACAGACACTTTACCCTGTGGAAAACTAAGCCCATGACAAGATAACTAAGAACTGTAATGCTTCACATATGTTATATCAAAAAGACATTTAAGATATGGAAATCTTAGTATGGAGTTCCAAATCAAGAAAAGTAAGTTACCATGACGGTAAGCTTCACGGCTTATGGCGGACTCATTTATCGGAAGGGTTACATTCAAGTTTGGTATACCATCAATACCAGAGGATAGGATGCTATGAAGGTATGGGAAAATAAAAAGGAGAATTGGAAAGTAAAAATACGGCCCCCTGTATTTCCCGTAAAATATGCTGAAAACCTTGGGTAATCTTTGTAATTATGATAGAGGTTGGATATAACACGCGCTATATCGGTTGAAAGGGCGTGCTCTATCAGAGTATAGAGCATGGACTGATTTAAAACTATTACGCTATCTGCCAATTTGTGCTGTGTCTAGCGTTTGTTCGTTAATCATCAAAGTGGCATTTCGGAATAAGCGAGCAGGTAGGTAGTAATAGAAGAACTAATCAAAGATTTTTAGGCATGTCAAGCGCCGTAGTTTGCAATATCATAACGCGTACAAGGACAACAATTCTTAAGGAGAAAATAAAATAGACAATTTGAGTTCCGATGGCTTTTATGCTCAGCTAGATTGTAGAGTTACATACGGTAATAAAAATCGAACACAGTTAACACTCGCGTAGTATATGCAGTTTCGTCTTTAAAACAAAACAGAACAGAAACGTTTTGGTGAGATTAAACTTGAAAATATATATAAAATGGCATAAATATTAAAATTCATACAAATCGTGTCGATGTCAGAGCTTCTGCGATCATGCTAAGGTAAATCACGGCTAGCTCATCTGGTGATACTCGGTCCTCGGAGTGAAGCACGCCTCAGAAATTACATCGGCCACGCGTCCTTTAGGTGAACTGAACTGTGAGCTCGCTCTGATGTCGTTTCCGATGCGTTGAGCTGAAGGCCATATCAGTCACAGCAGCCAACTTTTACGGCGCTGTCATCCTGAGTAATATTCTTGTTCCTATCTTGTCCTTCCTTTTCATGTAAACAAAAAACAAAAACAAAAATAAAACCAAAAAATAATAGCGCGTTTTTTTTATATATGAGTCACAATTCTGGCGGGTTTCAGTGAACATTTCACATCGAGAAATTGTGTTAAGACGAGCGCTTCAGGAAATGGTGTTAAATTCGGCCCGCCAAATTCGAACTATTTCCTTTTTTGTGAGCTATTGCAGATCGTGAACGAAGTTCGATGGTATATAAACTTTACTAGCTGGACAGTTTTAACAGCTTTAGTCTTGTTCAACCAATCGGATCTCTTCAACGATTCTGACAAGGATTCTGATTGGCTCATTGTAATCTGTATTATGAGAGTATAGAGCTTGTTGACGACACTGTTGTTCGCACTAAAAATAAAGCTTGTTTTGAAAATTGAAAATAATACGTAGGAAATTTAACAGATTCTTCATTGTAAAACAGATAGAAGAGCCATGACTGTAATCTGTTCTATTGTTAGGCACTCAGGATGCGGCTAGAGCACTCACGAAGTGGATAGAAATGCTGGACTACATCTCGTGTTTTCCCCCTACACTGCTTCTTTCGTGCTTTATCCGCTTCCTTTTTGCTTTAAAATAGAACAGAGCACAACGCAGGCTTCTCTTTTTGTTGATTAAATGTTTATTCACACCTGCCATATAGACAGATTTACTTTCGCACGTTCAAATTTATAGCATTTTTTCATTCCTTCAAATGGGTAAAGTTCCAAAGAGAAAACTCTTGGCAAAGGGTTTGACGTTACGTGACATTTCAGGACTCCTTCTCTATTGACTGTTTAATCATTTTGAAATAACAGTCTACACTCTATAAACACTCTCACTAGCCAAATGAATGGGAAAACACCAAACTCAGTCACGGTAGTCATTTAATTACTTTATATTCAAGGAGTTTATGAAACTGTGGAATTGTTTTGACTCCAACCTAAAATACCAGAGACTTCAATTAGTCAAAATTGACTCGTAGGGTGTTAAAGGAAGTTAATGAGTGATACTACTAATAATCATCATAACACTTAGTATCTCTAGATTTTTCTTCTCATCTTTGTTTTTGTTTTCTTTGTCATCGTTCGTTCGATTCTAAAAGAGAAATTTCTCTTTAAAGATTCCACAAAACAAGAGGCTTGTTAATGGGCATTTGTCAGGCACAAATAATGTTTGAAGAAAATAGGAAACAAGAACAGTTAAGAAACTTATTGTCCCGCCCAATTTTGATTAATAATGAATGACGATAACAGCAAAACTTCGCAGGTTTGGCTCTTCAAGAACCTAAAGCATTAGAGATGGAAAATTGATGGCTCTCGCATTTGTTTCCCTTTATTGAAAATATTTTCAAAAGGGAAACCTCCGTGATAGCGGATTAAAAACGTTGTTTTTTAACAAGACTGGGAAGATGGCCCGCCCGATGCTCTTTTTCATATTTCTTCTTTTTTCGTTTGGAGGCTGGTTCTTCACCTCAATAGCTGCAAGCCATGGTGAGTTAACTCCTTAACATTCTTTTGGGTGGGTTGGATGAAAATGTAGACTATGGCAACCCTCTAAAGTAATACAAATCTGGAGTCGCAAAAAAGCAAGGGCCCGAAACTTGAGTGCAAAGAAATTTTGTATTTCGTCAATAAGATTAACCCATATATAAATGATGAAGATGGAAACTACGATTTTACAAAGCGCTAACAAATTTAGAAACTTTCCAAACGAGTTGCAACAAAATCGATAGTGTACGGGAACTTCGTTCTTCACGGTATTTTGGTTTGAACTTTTCGGCAACGTTTCCAAAGTTTTAAATTTTTACAAAATTTGTTCAGATCAATTTCATCAATAAAAAATTAGAAATACGTAATAAAAGTTCTCATTCGGGATGATGAATAACTCGGCTGGCAACGTATAAGAGGCACTTAGACCTTTGTAACTTCAGGAGAGAATATCAAAAGGTGGAATTTGGTTTAAAGGTTTTTGTTGCTCAAGAGTTATCTTTTGCAGTTATTATTTGAGTCTCTAAAGCCATTAGACTCGTAAATATACTCATTGCGTTAGCTATAGTAAACGCAGCGAGTATGAAAACTCTGAGAAGTATTTCATATCGTCGTAGCGTTAAACTTCAGGTGGTTAAAGAGTGTTTGACCTCAGTTCTGCCTCCATGTATTAATATAACAGAGTATTCATATAAATCATTTTATAGCAGAAGAAACGAAGGTATCTCTAAAATTGCGGAACATGAGGAAAACGTCTGGATTATTATAATCTTTACACGGAGACGCCTTCTCATGCTTTTAATCATTGAGCAAAACCACAAGTAATATTTTCCTTTATGACGCTCGAGTCTTAAACTTTCAAGATAACGAGATAATCATCGAGCGAGTATGATTTTCTTTATCAACGTTATCGTATTTTTCATTTGAGAAATACCCTATAATAAGCAACATCTTTGCTTGTTGAAAATCCAGGAAGCTGTTTTAAACAAAGTACCTTGAAGTTTTTTTAAAATATGATTTAGTCCACGGGGAAAAATTGAATATAGCAAATAAAAACCTCATCCGTTGTATTGAATAGACGGTTGTCTCAGTATTTTGTCTCCTCTTGACTACTTAGCGTATGTAAGGAAACAAAAGAACTCCTTTAGGGTTAGGTAGGCCAGTGAGCGGTCCCTTAGAAACAAACAATTGCCTCAACTAACCCAACTTACAGTGACTCATATGAAAATAATTAGCCAGATCTAGAAAGGACGCCAAGAACACAAGATGTGCGGAGTTTGAATAGAGACATTCTAAAGAAAAAAAAGAAAAAAAGTCGTCGACGCCAGGTTACAATTAATTTCAACAAAATAGTTCCTTTCTTGTTACGAAAACGCTTTTACTAGCAGGAACTTTACGTCAGTATTTCATGGAAGTCCACGCGACTCCATTACTAGAATTGCACGAATTCTCATTTTTTTTTCCGGAGACACTTATGTTTTTCATAGAGAAAAAAACTAACCCATAACAATTCCCAGTGATGTTGATGGAAAAACATATCGATTATTTATGATTTTCGATCAGTTTTAAGCAGACACCTGGTCATGTTTTTCGATCCTCAAAAACTAAATAGGTGAAACATCCTAATTTCACTTTCGTCCTTAATTGCTATCATTTTGACCATCTTCCTACTCTCAGAACATAAAGAAAACTAATATAAAAATGAATTCTTCGTCCTCATTTCGATGGCCTCTATTGAGGCAGAGGGACTTTACTTACATGCAATCTAAGCAATAGCTTACGAACAGGACATTTCAACAATTTCTTGAACTGAGTTAGCCTTTGAAGTAAATAAAGTAAAGGAAATAAAATATTTATAGGCGATGTGAAATAACTCTTTGTCTGTATATAACAAAAAGAATGATAAATTTCTCAACAATGGCTCATTAATAATTTACTCAATGCAAATGCCACACAAGCAGTTTTGATTAGTAAGCCGAAAAGTGAGAGATAAATAATCCATGGGAATAAAAAAAACAAATCGACAGTGGTTTAGCGTGGTCTCGACGACAACGATATTCGTCATCACAGTGGCCAAAATGTTTTGGATTCTTTCAATGTGTGACATCTTGCGTTACACGTTGATGAGAGCAGCGTTGTCTGTACTCTTATCAAAAACGGCAAAGTGGCCAATCAGATTGCGAAATTGCTGCCAGTTGTGGTAAAACTCAGTACCTAATATAGCTATGAACTTATCTTTATCTCTGAGGGCTAACCTCTTTTGACTCGGGTATGTTGGAAGTTGGAAAAACTGTTTATATTAAGAAAATGGGTATTAATCGGGCTTGGTCTTTTTGATCTTTCGAGCTTCTTATAAGCACTTTAGCTCAAGTCGGTAAATTGACAAGAGCTATAATTTTCCCAAAGAGTTTTAGTCAGCAAAAGCAAGCTGTTTTCTATCGCTGTTTAGGTTTGGTAAAAAAACGAGATGTAAAGAACGGTTCAAATGGAGAAAGAATGCCTTTCATGTACCTCTTACACATTTTTCCTTTGTTCATATCTAGTTGAGGAAGATTACAATGAACAAGGTATGAATTCATAACGAACAGAAAAGGAGATGATTTTCTAAAAAATTCCATGCATCTTGACATTATTCCTTACATTTTTTGCTTTGGTTTTCATCTTGGGATAAAGTTTCAGAGGTCGTGAAAATAAGCACATTTAGGGGCATAATATATATTATTTGCCAGGCTTGATTGCAAAAATTCAAATTTTGTCCACTGGATAACTAATTAAAATATATCGTGAAATATTTACACAGAAGAAGAGACCACCGAAGGGGACTAACACATTTTTAAGGCCTCGTGATTAATGGAGAATACTAAGGATAACAATATTTTAATAAATGCAAAAAGCTCCCTTAGCTTAGCAGTGTGGAAAGCTTTCTTTTTTTCCATCTTTTTCTTTTTCTTTGCCCTACCACTCAGATTCGTTTTTGTTCGAAACATTCTAGTTTAGAATCTTTTTCTTTATCATTTTTTTTATTTAGCCACATCAACTGAAATTCGTTTTTATCTGAAAGCGAGTTACATTTTGAAACTTTTAATCCACTAAAAACGCATTAAAACGGAAGCAAAATCAATCATTTCAGCCCCTTTTTTGGATTTTTTGATTCACTCATAAAAAATCTGAACTCCGGTGCTTATATCGCGGAATTGTCATAGTTCTATTTTTCTGGTGTTAAAGGAAAAAGAATATCGCAGAAGGGTTATGAAAAACCAAGAGCTCCCTGTTTTCTGTAAATAATGGTTTTCCTCAACATTACTCAATTATACTATATTGTATTCGTTATTTTTTTAAGATTTTCTTTTTCGCCAACCTACGCGAGACGTTTCGCACGCCTAACAAAAGCTATCCTCTAATGTCTGACTTTATAGATAGCTGTCGGCGTCTAAAGTTCTTACAACAGAAAGATGGATATGGATTGGTAGGCCACGTCATTCAAAACATTTCATTACCAATCGGAACGCATATTTATAGTCACTGCAGAAATTGGTGTACAATGGAAGACAGGTGTAGATCGATCAACATGGGACCCTCAGGAGAAAAAGATAAAGTTTTATGTCAGTTGAGTGACTCGGATGACTTACAACACCCAAATGATCTGAAACCAATGACAGGCTTTATGTATAGGGGTACCGAGGTAAGAGTTTTATTATCACTTTTTTTTTTTGTTTTTTGTTTTCTGAGTTTGCTGCTGTTCGTAAGCCTTGTGTACCGTTTGATAGAGTTTCCTCGCTCCTTTGTGAGCCTTCGGCAACTCAGATAGGGCAATTTTATTTCAAAACCTTTTAAAATGAGGCCTGTGTTACAATGTTTTCTCAACCGCCAGAAAGATACAACTCGTACGAACTCAACTACTTTATTAACTGACGTAATAATTGCAGATACCAGTACTAATACGATAACTATCTTCTTAACTTAGAGCCCTCTATAGCTATAAAACTATAACCTCAGTGCACTACTGCACAACTCACAGCTTCCTTCAATGATCCTTGCAACGTCTCAACGTCCACAATACTTTTCCCAACGTAGCCTTCCGCACGGCTGACGATTCCAATAAGAGTAAATAACTCCAACAACTCTCTATGGTCCGGCTGTGTAAAAACACTAGCTCCTCTGGGCTCTTCACGACAACACTAACTCACTGAAAAAGGCCTAACTTTAACCGCTCGCGACTCCTTCTATATCTTTCACAAAATGTTCTCCAACATTCTAGGGATTTGTAATACCATCATTTTTAGTATAATGACATCACTATAGCATCATAACAAAATATGCTGACTAAGGGTTCAAGAAAGTTTCATTAAGAGTTCTCAGTGAGTCAGCGTGACTAAGCGTACTAGAAACTTCTTGAGTTCTATTTTTAGGAATTATGTAACGCAATGCACTCTCCATAACACCTGAGAACACTTGAATCGGTCAAAAAGGAAAAAAAAGATAAACGAGTTAAAAAAGACAAAGCTCCTATATGACGCACGTTCTGATTGGCTGAGACAGCATGCCTTATCAGAGTATCAAGAAGGGAGAACGAATCGTTTCTCCCCCTTCGCTTCTTTTGCTCTCTAACCGCTTTACCCTTCGCACTTTACAACAGAACAGAGCAAAGTCGAGGCTTCTTTATTTGTTACACAAAAATGATAAAACTCCAAGTATGCTCCGTATGGATAAAAAGTATACATCTCTCGCATGAATAGCATCTCCCATATTTTATGAAAAATAAAGCTTAGTATCTTTCCCCATCAGAACAAGTGTTGTTTAAACATGTGCTACAACAATGCAACTTGCCTGGTTGTATTTACGGATGAGGGATACAAGTGTGTTTGTCCACCTGGTTACACGGGAGACCACTGTGAAAAAGGCAAGAGTTATTTTGCACGTGCACTCTAATAGTCACGTTAGCCACTGCAATTATGCGTCTCTTTTGCGGATGAGTCGAAAACGAAGACCAAAAAACGAAGACCTAAGACCTAAGACCCACTCACTAAAGCGAAGACCCCTGGTCTAAAACCAAGACCCCGTGGTCTAAAACGAAGACCCTGTGGTCCAAAACGAAGACCCACTGGTCTAAAACGAAGACCCTGTGGTCTAAAACGAAGACCCACTGGTCTAAAACGAAGACCCTGTGGTCTAAAACGAAGACGCTGTGGTCTAAAACGAAGACCAATTGTTCTAAAAACCTATTTTTCAAGGAAAGGCTATACACTAAGCTAAACTGCTCTCATTTCTGTAGCGCATGAATTAAAATGTCATCCGAACGCGCGACCGACTTGACAGTAATGTTATCTCAGTCGGTACAACCATGTCAAATTGTGTAGCGCAATTATACTCTAAGAATATAGAAAGATACGTTTTAGAGACGATTTTGGTATATTTTGTCGTCACAAATACTCAATTTTTTAAATGCATATTCATTATTGAGCAAATTACGGTGAGGGGACCTCGTTACTTTGTTACACTGTCTTATCATATCAAAGCGCGAAGGTCAACTGTGCGTTACTCGCTAATTTATTCACCACAGGCCACATGGAAGATATCCCGCCAGATTACCTCCCGTCAGTTTTCTAGTTTGGTGTATGACATTTTTTACCTGTATTAAAGCCGCGACAGTTCCGTAACTGTTGTTCGTTTTTACACTTGCCTAATATATAAACAGTTACAGATTTCCCCGGGGACATTGACACGTGTTGTGTGCGCTCAGATGAAGCTCGCCCAGATGAAGCTCGCCCAGATGACATTTTAATTTATGCACTACAGAAGTTTAGTGTTTATGGTTTTGGACCATTCTGGCGGGAGATCATCCTTTTAGCCTATGGTGAATAAACTAGCGAGTCACCCACAGTTGACCTTTGCGCCTTTATATGATAAAGACAGTGTAGCAAAGTAGTCACCTCATCGTAACTTGAAAAAAAGGTATTCAGAACAATGGGTCTTTGTGTTACACCAGTGGGTCTTCGTTTTAGACCAGTGGATCTTCGTTTTAGGCCACTGGGTCTTCGTTTTAGACCAGTGGGTCTTCGTTTTAGACCACAGAGTCTTCGTTTTAGACCAGGGGGTCTTCGTTTTAGACCAGCGGGTCTTAGGTCTTAGGTCCTAGGTCTTGGTTTTTTGGTCTTCGTTTTCGACACATCCTCTCTTTTGTATCCATGTTACCATTGTCTTGTATGCTTTGACATGTCTTCCGATGACTTACGAGTCATTTATTATCCAACTGTGTTTCTTAGAGTACAAATAAGGCCCAGAACGAGTTCAAATGTCTCGCTGTATTTGCACTCCACAGAACTTAGACAGGTCTTCTCGCCGCTCAAGCGACGAATTGGATTGAAGTTACAAACAAAACTGGCGCAAAATCTGAATTATTTCTCAAACGACCAAGAGTCGGAATGGCTGACGAATATTGATCCAGATTTTTTCGATAAAGCGATGGAAGAAAAGCAGGTAGACGACATTGAAATTTCAACATATGTTCAAGGAAACAGAAACAGCAACACGACAACGCGGCTGATTCCGCACCGCTCAGCACTCCCAGTATATAGATATCCGCGAAATAATCCCGCATTGAAAACATAATTTGGAGTGTGGGATAATAAATCTCTTATCAAACATCTTAATGCGTATTATCGCTAAGTATTTTTACTCGTTGTTTGTATTTTGTCGCCCTACGGGTTCGCAAAATACTCAGGCATACTATACAACAAAACGTTTATTAAGATAAATGTATCACACATTGCATCCCATCCCCCTGAAAGCCACGTGGTTCTCTCAACACCCCCGCCCCCCTTCGATAGAAAATGACTGGTCCCCAAACATTATCCTACGTGGTGTCGAGTGTGGCAGGTCATCCAATCAGAACATGCTTGTTAACAGAAAAAAATTGTTTCTACAGATGTAAACGAGTGTACCACCAATACCCACAATTGTGATGTCAATGCTGAGTGCAACAATACCGAAGGTTCTTTTAACTGCAGCTGCAAGATTGGGTTCAATGGCGATGGCAAGAAATGCACAGGTAACTACGAGATCTGTTCATGTAAATTGTTCCAAGTATCGAAATCTGTTTCTTATATTTGCGTGAACTTGACAAACGTATCAAGAACATCAACGATTTTCATAAGCGAGCTGTATGTAGTAATGTAGAGAGATCAATTGGTTGGTAATGTGTCATTTATCACGCTTTGATTACGCGTTTCGTGTCTAGAGTGCTACTTCCTGTCATCAAAAGAATTACGAATTACGTAGTATCGCTAAGTATTTTTACTCGATGTTTGTATTTTGATTTTGTGGAAATCAAATTGTGTTTTTTAGTCTATGTTGCATTACAGTATTTGTGTTTGGAGTTCAGTCAAGTTTACAATTAATGTTTTTAATCATAGTTTAATTTTCATTCTGCAATCATTCTCAACATTACGTCACGCACGTCTTTCGCCATAGAATACTTGGGTCCTTTCTTGATGATGTGGCTACTAATTAATTTGATTTCAGATTGTTTACTTTTGGATTGGTTGTATATTTGATATGTCAGTCTCGTAAAAAGTCGCATATCGCAAGTGATCAGACTAATTCTTGAATATGTTTTTATTATTTGTCATTATTTCCTTCCAACGGAAAGCATTTCTTTCTTCGGATGTAAACGAATGTGCCACCGATGCCCACAACTGTGGTGTCCATGCTCACTGTTATAACACCGAAGGTTCCTTCAACTGCCGCTGCAAAGAAGGGTTTAGTGGCGATGGCAAGAACTGCAGAGGTAATAATGATATTTGTCTATCTAAAGTTTACCCAACATCGAAAACAATAGATTCATAATCCTTGTTTGTTTGTACTTTCCTAACATGACGAGAGCTTCTCTTTTGCTCTCCAAACATTTTGCTTGTATCCATATCGCAATAATTTGAAATAACACAGACTGATTCAACTCATGGGGATGCAAAACTGAGTTCAACTGAGTTAGTGTGAAAATGTTCTGCCTTTTTATTTGAGAAAGTCCTGACCATTATTGAGTTATTTTAGATCACGTACAAACCAGATTGGCTCATTTTTCCTTTATCACAAACCAGTCAGATTGCCGCATTAGGTATGTATCACGTACCAATAAAATCACAGCATTGTGGTATGCTTGCACCAGTCCGAATGCCATACACCAAGAATGACATAAACAATAACTGTGAGCTCATCTACTCTGTATAATGATCCATGTCCTTCGTGAGTTTTGCTATGATCTCTCTGGATTAGAAAGGTCTTCAGGGAATTTTTTCAACCCTTTGAAAGTTAAAATGTCTTTCGTGTACCACTCCTTTAATTGCAACGCCCACACCGTCAGCTGAAGGCCTAACACGAATATATCATTAGAGCTTTTTATTTGGGAAGGGCCACTTTTTTCGGCTCAGGTAAAACTTGTGCAAAGCATATCCATAAATAATATTTGACTCATAATCTTTTTTTTTGCCTTGTGGTTGCTCTTTTTGCAAAGGTTGAAAAGACCATGCCCACCGAGTTATATTTACCTTCTGCGTTGACTAAAAACTGGTTACAGAAGTGTTTTGTCATGTTTTATTGTATACCTAACTTTTTGTGTGTTTTACCTGACTACTGCCCTTATTACTTTTGTGCTTGGGACTGGGGTGAAAAAAATCCCAACTGTAATTATGACGCGCCTAAAAGCTATTCCTAACAAGTGCGATGAAGAAAGTACTTAAACATTTTGCAAACTACCAGCTTGTTATCGCTTTTAGCAAATCACTGTTGCTAAAATAACAAAACTGCTCTACAATCGAGGAATCGATGTTAATTATCTCACTTTTTCATGTGTTAAAGATTGTTTTCTTCTACCGCACTTTGCCTTCCGTTAGCTAGAAGAAAACCTCGGGGATGGGGAGGGATGGGAGGAAGAACTGAAATAATTCTTTTTGGGTATGTGCCGGTGGCCTCCCAGAATCCCCACCCTATTTTATACCCCATTCACACCAAAGCCTAAACATGCTTTAAAGCTGTTTTGTCAAACATGGTTTAACAAAACAGCTCCATAGAAGCTGCTCAAATCAATATTTGGTTGACTTGAAATGTGGTACATTGAAAATACAATTTAGCAATTGCTTGAATCTTGAGGAAAATTTAGGTTTTCAGTTCTGTGCTTCTGATTTTTATTCAGTTAAACCTGGTTTAACTAAACAAGTTTTCTGGTGTGAATGGGGTATTAGTCTATTTTGTGACCATTTATAGACCCATCACTTTTGGTGATACTTGAAAAACTTTTGAATAGCGCATTTCCCATTTTTTAATCCCCAGTTATCGCAAGTTTCGTAAACCCAATATCCCGAAAATGTTTTTCTTACGGAAAGCCAAAAGCTACTGTCAATCAGAAACTAAGAAAAGTATAGTTCCTTTGATGAGAAATATACCTACATGCATCGTGCATAACTCCTTTCACGAGGAAAGAAAAGGTATTCAGCTGTTTGCAGAAAGGTTGTCCGAAAAAGCGCAAGCCATATTAATACTCGTTTCTTTGTTTCTAAATGTTATCCACTGATTAAATATTTTGTTTAACTGGTAATTTCCCACTACAATTTCATATTTACGTTTTGCTCGTCACTATGGAGTAGACGCTCTCAGATAAAATGCCATTAACAGCATAAATTTTATGACATAATCCTAACTAAAAAAAGAAAAATTCTCAAGGATCATTCTGCATCTGTTAGCCAATTTTCCACTCATTTCTCACGCACTTTGATGTTTTCTTTGCAAATAAAATTCGTTTTTTGCTACCTTGGACTTCCCGCAATTACGTGTCAATTCTTTGTAAACAATTTGCATTTTATCACGTATTTCGCACGGACAGGGATAAGGCCAGATAGGCAACAACCACATAAGGAGCCTACGTTGTTATGCCTTGAAATATGATACTTTTCTCTTCATTCAATCTATTTTCACTTGTTCGAAGAACGAAGACTGAAAAATATCTTTGTTCAGAGATGAAATAGAGTTTTTGATTTGATTTCCTTCGCAACAATATATGAAAACTATTTTAGAGGCAACTAGTTGTAACTGAATGATTAAGACTTTGTCTCTGATGAAGGAACAGCAGTAAGGATTGTCGTAGCCTATGAGCAGATCGTCGTTTGGTCTCGTCGCGCAACGTCGGAGAAATGGCATTGCGTGACGATACCAAATTAGGAAGTTAGGGCTGTGGGGGGAGACTGCAGGGGGCGTGGTACCTATGCAGGCTATTTTTGCCAACAGTGCTTATGTTTTAAATGGACGGAGAAAAAATAGGATAAAGTTTGTAAAATGTCCATACCGAATGAAACGCATTGTACACAGTACAAGATAAGGATAAGTTAAGCCATAATAATCCTTATAATGTGAGGACCTCGTCAGTTTAAACCATATCCCTGATGTTCCTTTTATAGCATCAAAGAGAATGACAATCAAACAGAAAAACAAACAAAGAAGCACATAGTCAATTTTCAATTAACTGCGTTATATAAATACCGTAGCTGAGGATTCGAGTTAATGCCCTCCCTACAATGAGCGCCCCTCTCTGAAAAGCGCCCCATCACATTTGATTTTTTTTTTTAATGAGCGTCCCTATTCTAATAAGCGCTCCAATTGAATAGGTATTCTCATCCCAATACGCAACCCTACACTGATAAGCGCCCCTATTCTAAATCAGTAATAGCACTGTGGAGTACATGTGCATTGAGATCAACCGTAGCTCATCTTCCTTTAATTGGTCACTGAAAGCCTCATAACAAAATCAATGGTCTATGTCTCCGTCTTTGAACTTTTATGTTTAGTTCATTCATTGTGTGACGTTTCCAACTTGGTCGACCGTTCTAGTCAGGAACCATCCATGGACAGCAAGTCTGTCATTTTACAGTCTATTTCATCTTTTGAAAGAAATAGGTTTCTTTTGCACATTCTACTATTTCTCAAGAAGGAAATAACCGCCCTGTACCTGATGCCGGATTTCACTGTCGCACAATCATCAAAACCATAGAACAAAGAAAGTCAAGAATCAAAGGAATGAAATTATGTGAATAGTCAAACAGTCTCGCAAAGATTCAGGGTATGGGTGATGTTTTGTGCGAAAGATATTCGAAGAAATGTTTCCCTCGAGACTTTGTACAAAGACGCTATGTTGGGACACCAGTATGGCGGCCGGAAGCTAACAAAAACAGATGTCATTGAGTTTTGCCTTAAAAGGCCTGTAGTCGTCATCTTAGGGCTCGGAAGACATCTGTATGAGCTCTGGTTCTCACACAAGAACTCTTCTTATTACACGACTCGGGCAGTCAAAGGGCCAATAACTAAGATCAACCAATCAAAATGCTCTATTGCCGGTAAATATTCTCTAAGTATTGGACCGGGCACTGTCCCGAATAGTCCCGAATGATACCGCACTTGTGTCCCTTTGAACTTCAGTCGTATAGATCGTATTAAGTCACGTGACCAACTCAACAATTGGCCGCCATGTTGGTGCACATCCAAAGTAAACAATACAAAGGGAAGGGCGATAGATTCGAGCGAAAAGATGGTGATATGTGCAATAGTTGGTTGTGGAACGAGAAGTGTGCATGATAAAGGAGTTTATATGGCTAGGATACCTTCCATAATCACAAACCAAGGTGAAGAAATTAGAAAATTAANGATACGAAAGTGACAATATTAATGTATTTTTGGACAGCTAACGAGGATGATAGACTTACATATGACATCTTAGCATATCGAGTTGCCAATATAGATCGTATTCAGTCACGTGACCAACTCAACAATTGGCCGCCATGTTGGTGCACATCCAAAGTAAACAATACAAAGGGAAGGGCGATAGATTCGAGCGAAAAGATGGTGATATGTGCAATAGTTGGTTGTGGAACGAGAAGTGTGCATGATAAAGGAGTTTATATGGCTAGGATACCTTCCATAATCACAAACCAAGGTGAAGAAATTAGAAAATTAACGAAGGAACGCCGTAAAGCATGGATCTCGGCGATAAGTAGAAGATACCTCACGGACTCATTTTGAAAAATAGCCGCATATAACCGCTTAGTTGTTACTTTGTTAAGTTCTGGATAGCAGATGTTCTCATGATCAGTGATTGTGAAGGGAGTGAAGGGTTAGTCGAGGCAGCAGCCTTACTCTGGGATGCAACAATCCTTCCTGCTCTGTGTCTAAAAAAGCTATTACCTTTGGCTTGATTTATGGTGTCAATTTGAACCCTCTCAATTTGTTCTTTTGTTATGTCTATATGGATACTTTGACATACCTTAACTAAGTCATTATATGATAAATCAAGGTATTTCTTGTCAAAAAGGCTCATCACAGCTGGAACATTACGGCTTGGTAGAACATAGCTGTCAGCATAAGGAGAAATCAAGGATAATAATATTGGTTTTGTTTGACATTTACTGAGTTCACAGAATAGTGTGTCCATTTCCGGTTCGCTTGGTGCCGGCACTTGTGATTTAGTAGTAATTTTTTCCTTCTGGTTTGTTGTTGTTTCGATCATTTCAGGCAGCCTGTCGATATTCGCATCAAGATCGGCCTTCATTTTCTTAGCTGATTTGAAGTTAATATCCCTAGCCCTTGCGTATTCTACTTCGTTTGCACGATTTGGTAGATTCCACGTGCACTTCATTTGTGTGCACGAAAGTCTGCCGTTAACCTTCGTCCACGCTTCCAAATAAAACAGTACACTAGCGATATGAGAACAAGATTCGGATAGTCCTGCCTTGCATCCCAAACAATGGGCACAGTTGATAGTTCCATCCTTTTCAGTTATAATCCAGATGTTAATCAAAGGATCGTTCAGGCGCTGAGAATGTTTCACCTTAGCCAAGATGACAAACTTGTTTGAAATTATGTGCCCTTGTACGCTTGTAATAAATCCAGAAACCATTTGGTTGTATGCCTCTAGACTTCTAAACGCTTTAAATTGCTGCTGTGTGTAGAAGCTGGTTTCAAGAACTAAATAGCAAAGCAAATCTGTTGATTCCACCGGTGGCAAACAGTCGGGTTCGTAGCGCTTCCCCTCGATCAAAACATAATCGATTCCGATCGTTCTATTTTATCCAAATAGCGCTTTCTAACTTTTCCTTCCAACTTTTTAGCATATCGGGACAAGGGAAATGATGATTCCTTATCACAATCATCTTGCGAAACGGAAGAATCTTGATTACAAGCCATTTTAATTTTTGACATTTCAAAAACCGGAGTTTGTTTACCTAATTTGCATAGAGCTACACGTAAGTGCATGTGCACCAACATGGCGTCAAATTATGTCGTGACCTCACGTGAATACGATCTATAATAAATCTCTTTTTAACCAAGCTTGCTCGGGACCGTACTGGAAAAATATCGGCCCTCGGTCTTTTTTGTACGGACCTCGCTGCGCTCGGTCCGTACTGTCAAGACCTCGGGCCGATATTGTCCCAGTGCGGCCGTCGCGCTAGGTTAATAAGATATATATATTGCGAGGTCTGGGCAGATAAGTCGCTCTTCTTTAACCCATGTGACAGCATGTTAATCTCCTGTCACGCAAAATCTTAGAAATTTAACTGTGCTTTATCACAAGACGAAAAACCAATAAAACTGAAAATTTGTAGAAAGATACGTCAGCTGCTTTATTAACTATTTAAACTAAAATCTCATAAAGATTGATAATTCCTTACTTTTAATTTTGATGAAATCACATGAAAACCAAGAATGAAACCCCCTGGTTCGAAAAAGCGCCTTTCATTGGTGTACCAAAAGTAAAAGAGCGCCCCCAGGCGTTAAATCGAAATTTTACGATGTGCTCAATTCTCGACTTTTATCACGCAGAATGACCGGATATCATCAGTTATTTATAAGCACTGAAGCGGGAAAATGTAAACCCAAAAGCTCAGAATATGAATAAGCGAAGAGAGGGCAGAAACTAGCGCCGCAGCATTGATAAAACTCGTCTTTCCGATTTTTAGAAGCAATAAGTTAGACACCCAAGAGATGCTTTTGAATAGAAGGGGTATATCTTTAATTCAGGCTTAAAAATAGGAAGTCTAAGGATATATGAAGACTATTCCTTAAGCTTTGGAAATGACGTAGTAACGGACAGTTTTAGTCAAAGACCAGTTTCAAAAGTGATCATTTTTAACAAAGAAGACACACGCAACATTTCCAACCACAATCAGATGCGATGCTTGGTATTCTTTCAGGAGAAATATTTCGTGACGAAAGAGTATGTGTAAATTGAGAGGCAATTAACTGAGTATATGATCCAATGAAGAAAATGAAATGAATGGCTTAATAATTAAATTACTAGATGAGTAATTTTATGGATCAATTTACATGATCTTGACTTTTCCATGTCTCTCTTTGTAAGTGCAAATATACCTTCAATAAAAGGAAAAAAAAAACCTTTATGCCTACATTGATGTAGATAACTCAACTATCCCCTTTTAGCATTCAAGGCCGTTTTTACAAACCTCAATGCCAGTGGAAGATTTGGTCCAACAAGGCTGGGCAGTCACTACACAGGACAGGATCATGACGGACAAGTTACTGTGTCCAGCGGTATTCAAAACTGGACTGTGCCGCACACTGGTGACTACAGAATAGAAGCAATGGGAGCAACAGGGGGGTACGATTTACACGCTAACAGCACTCAGCACCAGGGAAGAGGAGCAAGAATGATTGCAACATTCAGTTTAAAAAAGAGTGGGGTCCTTCGGATACTTGTTGGTCAAGAAGGAGGAATAAACAAAGTGTTTCCCAGTTCTGGAGGTGGTGGAGGTACTTTCGTGGTGAGAGGAGCCAGCACACCTTTGATAATAGCTGGAGGCGGAGGAGGGGTAAGTGCAGTTAAGTCAAGACATGAAGGATGTGACGCCAGCACAAACACAGCAGGGAATCCAGGATACAAATCATGGTCAGGGGGGAGCAATGGACATGGTGCACAGAATGCTGATGGTAGACCGTCAGGTGAGAGTATATCGTGATGATTCCTCGCATCTCAGTTGTTCATTTAATGTTATATCCTAGCTACATGATAAAGGGCGCTCTGATTGGATTCTAATTCATGAAAAAGAAATGGATGGTGCATCGAGATGGTTCAGGTTGACGTCATTGTCGGTGAAAAGTTTCTATTGAGTTTAGCTGCGAAGTTTCAAAACTTTAAAGATCGTTTTTCCGTTCTATTCCGATTTAGAAGAACCCATTGGAGCTCAAAAGTAAAAGAAATATGCTAACTAGTCATCGTTTAGAAAGACAATGAGCGTAACTCTGTAAAGCGACGGAATTAGTTTTGGAGTCCAGGATACTTTTATTCCCAAAGGCGATGAGCAGTACGGCCTGAAATGAAACTGAGTTTATTGACATTAGCTTAGGCCTCGCGAAGCTGGGGTAATTATTGTTGTGAATTTTTGATTCATGTATGTCCCAAAAGTGTTGTTCAATAGATGATTTTCGTTTGAAACCGTACCATTTTCCAGATTTTCAACATAAAGGGACGCAATTTCTAATCGTCAATTCTAGTAACCAACAATTCAAGGAAGTAAATCTACCACAAGGGACTCGTAAACTCAAGAAATTTGTAGTTTTTTTCGCTTCGTTGTTTGAACGATCAGTATTACTTTTAGGGTTGCCATGATAACTCCAGAAGCTAGAGTTTACTAATGTCGGGCTACGCTTCGAGCAACTCTTCCCTTTCGCTTTCCAAACTTCCCCCGTTGATACAGAACACGATACACGCATTGGAAGCATGAACCGATTCTTTGATAGAAACAACTTTCCGGCTCAATACCGTTTGCACAAGGTTCACTCTTCAGCGCCACGAAGTGCTTCTAAGTGATATGAAATTGTTAATATTATGCAATTATTGACTGAGAGGGAGGGATGGACGAGAAAAAAAATTATAATAGTAATAATTTCTTAAGGTGTACTGCAGTTTCATGAAATGTATGAAAGCGATCCTCGCTGTAATAAACCCTACCTAGGTAGTAGTGATCTTAGCCCATAACTTCTGCGATACTGGTGCAGTGCTCTACCAACTGAGCTATGATGTTCATATATTCAAAATTAATTGATTTATATCACTGGTATTATAGACGCTATATAAAAATATCAAACCTCAGGGATAGTAGCTCCATTAAAATGCATCATATAAAGATTTTGCTGAGCTGATATGGGTTTAGTGGAGCGTCTTGAAACACGATGAAAAAGTTCCAAAAATCGAATGGGCTCGCTTTTGTTTACTAAAATCTTCAGACATATTCATTGTATTTCAGGTGGTGGTGGTGGCGGGTTTTACTCCAGTGGAAGAAGTGGAACGAATTTTAATGGAACCAAAGGATATGGTGGAGAAGGTGGTAAGGGATTTATTCAGGGAGGGGTGGGTGGAAGAGCCATGCATAATGATGTCGATGGTGGGTTTGGTGGAGGTGGTGGAGCTAATGGAGAGGGAAGAGGAGGAGGAGGAGGAGGAGGAGGGTACTCTGGGGGAAGCAGCGGAAAGAATGATTTTGATTCTTGTGGGGGTGGGGGAGGCTCATACAACGGTGGAGACAACCAGGACAATGATTGTTGTTATAACACCGCTGGTCATGGTCAAGTAATTATTACGTTCCTGAAGTAAAAAAGTTTATCTACAGTGGTGATAATAGCATTACCATTTAGCTTTTATTGCTCAGCATTCTAATTGACTGATGGTACTCAGTTAAAATAGCAAATAACGTTTAACTGTTTGATTGTAACTTTCCGTGAAACACAAATGTCCCCCATCTTATGTTTCATTTGGTTTACTTGTGGCTATCATTTCTTTTAGTCATTTATTGACTGGGCTCGACGATATGGGAGGGAAGGTCGAAGGGAAGATGGTGAAACGCGCCAACAGCCTAATCGATACTTTATATTAATCCATGGATCTTTAAATTGCAAAATTACCTTTCAAATTCTTTTTTGACTAGAGCTTTCATGTTTGATCAACATCCAGCTAATTTAGCTTTCCTATTTCACTTCCACTTGATAATGATGATAACATAAAAACTGATCTATTACTTAGTATCTCCCAGGGGATATCACTGTCAGTATCTGTCCTACTCAGCCAAAAAGGTTCTTATTTGTATCTGATCAAAATTTGAGCACTATTTTTGTTTGTTTGTTTTTTTTTTTTCATAAACCGAGTCTCAGTTGTTACTTGTTAATATGGATTGAAACCAAAATCGGTCCGATAGAAAAACCCATAAGGCAAACGAGTGAAACACGGTTTTCTTCTATTCTTCTTCTTTTTTGCTTTTCTTATTGTTTCGGACAGTATGCCCCTATGATGTCACTCTCTCAACCAATCAGATACAATACTAAGACCAAACACGACCCATTGAACAGCGTTTTCCCGTGTTTTAGGCAGCTCGGCTGTTTTTACTTTTTCATCAAGTGCTAAACGTATTGTGTCTTATTTCTGGTCGGCCATTGTCATTTCTCTGTTTTTTTTTGTCTTTTTTTCTATCGCGATACTCACTCGAATAGCGCTCTAATCCTACAGAAAAAGAGATCTTTTTTTATAGTTCAAAAGTCAAATGGGGATCTAAAACTTAAGATAACGAAGTAATTTTTTTTTCAGAAATCGAGTCGTACTCGTCATTCTTTTTCACCAAGGTCTTGCATAAAGATCACACTGTCACACAGTCTAAATATCACTCTGTGCAACCTAAAACGATAACAAACAATTCTAGATGATTATATGTTCTGGAAGCTTCGGACTAACTCTTGCCTGTTCATTCATATCAATCTTTTGATACAAATCTTCACTGACCTTCTTTTACCGATGTTCAATGAGATCAGTGAAGATTTGAGATCAAGTAGTAAAGACGCCTGTTACACTGTAACAGTCTGAAATCAGTATGGCTTTTCGGACGCGGAGAGAGGGGAGGGGAGGGGTAGAAGAGGGGCGTGGGAAAGGAGGCTCCCTATATCTCGAGTTAGCTTGCTAAGTTAAGCTCATCCCTCTTACCACCCAACCTTGTCTGTGAGAAGAGAGGGTGGGGGTGGGAGAGAGAAAGGACTGATAGAATCAAAACATACATTTGTGATAACAACGTCGATAAGGAAAATGAATTGTACAGGTGCGAGACAGATACTTTACCCTGTGGAAAACTAAACCTATGACAATATTACTAATAACTGTAATGCTTCACATTTGTTATGTCAAGAAAAAAAATTAAAACATATAATTGTTAGTAAGGAGTTCCAAATCAGAAAATGTAAGTTATCTTGAAAGTAAGCTTTCATAGTTTATGGCTGACTCAATTATCAGAAGCGTTAAATCAAAGTTGGGTATACCATCAATACCCGAGGATAGGATACTATGAAGATATTGGAAAACGAGAAGAATTGGAAAGTAAAAATACGACCCCCTGTATTTTCCAAAAACTATGTTGGAAAATATGGGTAATGTATGGAGTTATGACAAAGTTCGGATACAACGCGCCCTGTCATCGGCTGAAAGGGCTTGCTCTGTCAGAGTTTATAGCTAACCTTTAAATTTCCTCCGACTCGTATTGGCTTAAATTGATCACGTAACGCGATAGTGTTCATCCGTGGAGAGAAATTATCAGCCCATAGTCCTCGTCCGCGGTAAATACCCGGATGGATAGTACTCATCTGTGAAAAATCTTGAATGGTTTGATGGCTGCGAAGCTAGGAGAACGGAAAAACAGTGACTTTTCAATTCTGACACGTATAACGTATTATTTAGCCAGTGTACGGTTGCGTATTATTGACATTTGTGACAGACTGTACGCATGAATAAATATTTGATTGATCTGCATTTCGTGGGTTTTGACTGTTTTTCAACTGGTGCGCGGAAGAAACTTTAGTGGTGAACAATAAAGACAATAGAGTGTTTATGTCTCGGAACTATCAGTCTGATAGTTGTCCCTTGGAAATTTGATGCTCTTAAAACTAGCGTATTTGCCCTCGAACCTTCGCTTTTCGGGAAAAAATTCGTTTTAAGAACATCAAACTTCCGCGGGGCAACTATCAGCCGATAGTTCCTCGACAGAAACACTCTGTTGTTTAAATAGAGCATGGAGCTGAGCTAAAGCTGTCAAGCCATCTGCCCATTTGTAAAACGTCTGGCGCTTGTTAGTTCGGTTAAAAGTGAAACTTCTCAATAGGCGAGCAAGCAGGTAGTAACAAAAGAGCTAATCAAAGGCTTGTAGACATGCATATGCCCAGCGCCGTATTTTTCAATATTACAACGTGTGCATGGAGCTGAGCTACAGCCGTCACGCCACCTGCCAATGTGCCCATGTCTAGCGTCTGTTCGTTGATTAAAAGTGAAATTTCAGAATAAGCGAGCAGGTAGCATGAGAACCAATCAATGGTCTATAGACTTGCCAAGCGCCGTAATTTACAATATTACAACGTGTGCAAGGAAGAAATTCCTTAAAGAGAAAACTAAATGGAAAATTTGAGATTTGAAGGTTTTCATGCTCAGTTAGATTTTAAACTTAAGTGCGGTAATAAAAACCGAACACAGCTAACACTCGTCTAGTATATGTACTTTCGTGTTTAAAAGCAAAACAGAACAAAACAGAATTGATGAAAGTATACTTGAAAAACGTATCCAAACTGGTATTACTGTTAAACTCTATGCAAATCACTACCATGTCAGAGCTACTGCGATCATGCCGAGGTGCATCACGGCTACTTATCATGGTGGTCTCCGGTCCTTGCAGTGAAGATGAGCCACAGAAATTACATCGGCCGCTCTTCGGGTGAACTGAACCATTAGCTCGCTCTAATATCCTATTCGATGCATTGAGTGGGAGGCCACATCAGTAACAGCAGCCGAGTTTTGCCGCACTGTCATCCCGAGCAATCATCTTGTTCCTGTTTTGACTTACTTGTCATGTTAAAAAACTCGCGTGTCTTTATGAGCCAAAACTTCACCGGATTTCATTGAATTTTTTACGTTCAGAATCCGTGTTTAGAAGACAAAAACCTCAGGCAAAATAAAAATTCGACCCGCTGAATTATTTTTTTTGTGTGTGCACTACTGTATACTATGAGCGAACTTCGATATTCTCTAAACTTTGATGGTTTGACATTTTTGACAGCTTTTGTCTTGATAAACCAATCAGTGTACTTGTACCATTCTAACGAGGATTCTGATTGGCTCATTGTAGCCTGATTTATAAGAGCATAGAGCATGCTGACGACATTGTTGTTCACCCTGGAAATAAAGCTTGTTTTGAAAATTAAAAGAGTTTTATGGGAAGTTATCACAAAAAAAATAGAGAAGCTTTGACTGTGCCCTGAGCTGTTGTAAAGCCCTTAAAAAGCGGCTGCGTCTCGTGTTTCTCTCCACTTCTTTCGTGCTGTAGCCCCTCTGTTTTCTGCTTTACAACAAAACAGAGCACAGTGGAGGCTTCTCTATTTGTTAATTAAATGATTATTCACACCTGTCTTATAAACAGACATATTCTCGCACGTTCAAATTCATAGCATTTTCCTTTCCCTGAAATTTCTTTTTTCGTTTAGGTGATAAAACATATGGGAAAAATTCCAAGAAGAAAACCTTTTTGCAAATGGTTTAACCAGGAGTGACGTTTCAGAACTTCCTTTCTACGGACTGTCTATAATTATTCAGAAATGACAGTCTTCCGACTCCCGCATGCCAAGTGAATGGGAAAACACAGAACGACTTGCATTTCGCAAAATTGGCCTCTTGACTTAATAATTGGATAACACAGAACGACTTACATTTCACAAAATTGGCCTGTTGAATTAATAATTAGTAATAGTAATAAGAATCATAACAAGGAGTGTTTGCCTGTTTTTCAATTTTTTTTCCTTTTTGGTTAATTGTTTTTATTCTTTCGTTTCATTTTGATCAATGTTTCAGGAATTTTTCTCGCTCAAAATTTCAAAAAAAGACGCTTTCTAATAGGCATTTTTCAGACAGAAATAATATTTGAAGAAAATAGTAAACAGGAACAGTTAGTTAAGAATTCTATAGTCCTGCCCAATTTTGGTTAATAATGAATGACGATAAGATTAAGACTTCGCCGTTATGGCTCTGCAAGAACCTAACCGTGCCAGAGATGGGTAGCTGATCGTTGCAGCAGTTATTTTAAAATGCAAAGTACAGTGATAAGTGGGTAAGAAACGTTCTTCTTTGACGACACTCTGGAGATGGCCCGCTGTCGCTGCTCAATGCTTTCTTTCGCTTTTCTTCTTTTTTCGTTTGGAGGCTGGTTCTACGCCTTAACAGTTGCAAGCCATGGTGAGTTAACTTGAAATTCTTTGGTGTGGGTTGGACGAAAATGTAGACTATGGCTACTCATTAAGTATTGCAAATCTGCAGTTAGGGGAAAGCAACGGGCCCGACAAACCGGGATCAAATATTATGCACTTTTTGGTTGAGTGGAAGTCCTGATTTACCGCATCGATAGGGCTGTGAAGTAAAACTTGATATGATCATCCCGAAAGACTTGTTACAAAAGAAATTTCATCTTTTCGATAAGAATAGCTCATTCAAGTTGATAAAGAAGTTAAACAACGATTTTTAAAAAGAGCTGACAAATTTGGAGACTTTCTAGGCAAATCGATCGTGTGTAGGAACCTCATTCAGGGTATTTGAGTCCAGTTTTTCCGCCACGTTTTATAGGTACTATTTTCTTAGTCTAAAAATTACGGAAAAACGCCTTTTTATCATGACTTTTACCTGGAAACACCTACATTTTTTTGATCAATAAAACATCAGTGGATTTTCTCTTCATTTGCGCTCGAGTTGGAAGAAATCGTAATCATTATCAAGTGAGTATGAGAATTTTTTTTTTCTGTTATCGTTTCCTTCAATTTAGGAAAAGGTACATAGGATATAAATACCCTATACCTAAGAAATAGCTTTGCTTGTTCAAACTTCAGGCACCTGTTTCAAAGAGACTGCTATATATGAAAGTTTCAAATAGGATTTAGTCTACAGCGAAGAAATGAATATAACGGACAAAAGCTTCATCAGTTGTATTGTAAAGATGTTTGTCTTAGTACTATGCCTACTTGGTGGTATGGTGTAAATTCAGACGCATTTTATTGATATGCTAATAGTTATTTAGCGTGTGTAACGAAACAAAAGAACTCTTGCAGGGTTAGGTGGGCCCGTAAGCGGAAGTGGCCCAGCATGCAGTGACTCATTTGAAAAATAATTGATTAGATCTGGAAAGGAAGCCTAGGACATCAGACGAGTAGACCTTCTAAAAACTAAAGCAAAAGAAAGCAAAAGAAAGTGGTCGACGGAAGCTTTTTGTTACGATAAATTTCATCCCAAACATTTCTTTAATTCCTCGTTACTGAAACACATTTAGTAGCAGGAAATTTACGTCAGTATTTCATGCATTTCCACCAGATTCCATTACAAGAATTGCAAGAATATCATACAGTTATTTTCCTTATCAGAGATGCTTGTGTTTTCCATAGAGAAAAACCTAAGCTAAGTAATAGTATACCATATCTTAGTATAGTAATGTCCGGGGAAAAACTCATTGATTAGTTTTGCTTTTCGATTGGTTTTAGGAAGACACGTACTCATGTTTTTCGATCCTGAAACTAAAACTGGGTGAAAGATTCTTATTTCCATTTCGTTCTTAATTTCTATTATCTGAATCATCTTCGTTCCCTTAAGAACATTAAGAAACTAATTGAAAAATCGCTTTGTCGTTCTCTTTCCGATAGCCTCTCTGGAAGCAAAGGAACCTAACTTATATGCAATATATGCAATAGTTCGGCGATAGACGGCGAAACGAGCAAAGTAAAACAAACAATATTCTCTCGAGCTGAGCTAGCCTGTTAAAGAAAACTAAGCGGGAAACAAAGTATTTCTAGTCCACGTGGAATACTTCATTATTATTCCTTACAGATATCTGCAAATGACAAGTAAAATAAAGAAGTTTTGATCAATGGGACATTAATAGTTTACTCAGTGCAAGTACTGAAAAGTGAGAGATGAACGATCCATAAGAGTAACATTAAAAGATCGACAGTGGTTTGACGTGGTCTCTACTCTTATCGACAACAAAATTCATTGTCACAGTGGCCAAAATATTATGAATTTTTTCAGTGCGTGACACGTTGCGTGACACGTTGAAGCGCGTAACGTTGTTTGTACTCTTATTGACAACGGAAAATTGGCCAATCAGATCGAAACATTCAACTTGGTTAAATTGCAGATAAAGGTTCTTATCGCCTCCCGGTTAGCTCAATGGATAGAGCGCTGGACCGTTGTGCGGGAGGTCGAGAGTTCGAGCCCCGGCCGTACCAACACTCCAAGTCTTAAATAATTGAGAAGAGTATGCTGCCTTTCTATAACATCAAGAAATTGTTAGATATTCTAGTCTTCTCGGATAGGGACGAATAAATGGAGGTCCCGTCTCCTGGAGGGTTAGGGGTAGGAGACGTTAATTTCCCACGCATGAGATTACTGTGTGATGGATGTCCTCCCCTGGGGTGGGATGGGTGGGGTGTTGTCTTGCGTTTCATACTGAGCCTCTGGCTCGGGCAATCTGGGTAACCATGCCTCACGTAAAGACAATAAACTTCATTGATTGATTGATTGATTGAAGGAGGGAATGCTATTCATAACTCCCTACACGTTTTTCGTTCCTCCCAATTTAGTCGAGGAAGGCATGAGGTCATAAGTAGCGCAAAAGGAGATGATTTTCTAAAATTCCACGCATCTCGACATTGTTCTTTTCATTTATTGTTTTGGCCTTTAACTTGGGATAAAGCTTCAGTGACCATCCAAATTATTACACTTGAGCGCTAAATGTAACATATTATTCGCCATACTCGATTGCAAAAATTCAAATTTGTAACCATTCAATAATTAATTATAATACGTAGTGAAATACTAACGCGAATGAGATACCACTTTAGGGGACTAACGTATTTTTAAGCCTTGTGATAACTAGAAAAATACTAATGACGAAAAATTTAAATCAAGATAAGAAATGTTCGCTCAGCTGAGCTTGTGGAAAGCTGTTTTTTTTTTTTTTTTTTTGAGCTCCGTTTCCTCTTATTAATTTTTATTGAAAGCATACTGCTTTTAAAATTTGTAGTGAAAATGAAAACATTAGTAATGATAAAAGTTCAAAAAATATATAACCTCTGATGCTAATATTGCGGAATCCTCACGTCTTCCCCTTACATTTTTCTAGCTGTTGCTAAAGGAAAAGAATATTGCTGAAGGGCTAAAAGTAAATGGTGGTTCACTGAGTCGGTTGAGGTTCTTCAATTTTCTCTGAGTGCCAGAATGCCAGAAACTGAAAAACATCGATGTGTCCACCGAAGGCTTACTTTTGGAAGACAATACGATGCACAATCCAATGTAATGGGCAGATGGATTTCAAAATCCGAATAGACAGAATTTTTTTAGCCCATCAGTTGATGTCTATGAAAACTGTCAGATTACTGAGACCATGCGGTTTTCTCTAACCAATGGGGTTTTTTTTTTTCAACATTACAATTATACTCTATTCGAGGTATTTTTTTTTTTAGACTTTTTTCGCCAACCTACGTGAGACGTTTTGCACGCCTAACAAAAGCTATCCGCTAATGTCTGATTTATAGATAGTTGTCGGCGTCTTAAATTCTTGCAACCAAAGGATGGATATGCATTGGTGGGCCATGTCTTTAAAAGTATTTCATTACTTGTTGGAAGGCATATGTATAGTCGTTGCAGAAATGGGTGTACTATGGAGGACAGATGTAAATCGATCAACATGGGACCCTCAGGAGAAAAAGATAAATTTCTATGTCAGTTGAGTGAATCGGACCACTTACAACACCCAAATGATCTGAAAGCGATTGCAAGCTTTATGTATAGGGGCACGGAGGTAAGAGTTTTATTTTTATTTTATCTTTTGTTTTTTTTAGTCTGCTGCTGTTCGTAAGCCTTGTCTACCCTTTAATAGATTTTCCTCGCTCTTCTGTGGGTCTTCGGCAACTAAGAGGAGGCAATTTTATTTCAAAACCTTTTTTAAATGAGGCCTGAGAACACCTGAATCGGCCAAAAAAATTAAAAAAAAAGACTAAATAAAAAAAGTAAAGTTTCTATATGACGCACGTTCTGATTAGCAGAGACAGCGTGGTTTATCAGAGTATCAAGGAGGGAGAACGTCTCGTTTCTCCCTACTCACCATTTTTGTTCTATAGCCGCTTCCTGCGTCATTTTCAAAAGAACAGAGCTAAGTCGAGACTTCTTCATTAGTTACAATAAAAAATGAAAGACTCCAGGTATGCCCCGCATGGATAAAGAGTATAAATCGCTCCCATAAATGGCATCTCCGTTATTTTATGAAAAATAAGGCACAATATCTTTCCCCATCAGAACAAGGGTTGCTTCAGCATGTGCTACAACAATGCAACTTGCTTGGTTGGATTTACAGACAAGGGATACAAGTGCATGTGTCCACCTGGCTACAAGGGAGAATACTGTGAAAAAGGCAATAGTTATTTTGCACGTGCGCTTCATGTTGGCTAGTACAATTATGTGTCTATTTTGCATCCACTTTACCCTGGTCTCGTATGCTTGACCAGCTCCGACATGTCTTGCGATGACTTAGGAGTCATTCATTGTCCAACTGTGCTTCGTAGAGTGCAT